ACCTTCAAACAAACGAGGAAGCAATAGCAAATTAACCTGTTCATCTGAAAAATGATGTTTGAGATTTCATCAATTACCTTGTCTTTCTTTTTCATTTCTTCTTCATCTTTCTTGATAGTCTCAGCTTCCTTCTCTAAATCTTGAAGTTGTTTCCTCAGTACTTCCAAGTTATCAGCTTTACATTTTTCAGCTTCTACTAATTTCTTTTTCACATCATTGATTTTTTGCTCATTTTCAGACTTTTTCCTCTCAATGGTTTCAAGCTCTCGCTTCCTTTCTTCCATTCGTTCGATTCTGGCTTGGTGCCTCCATCTAAATAGTGAAGGTGTATCAATGTTTGGATGGGTTTCATCTTCATCATCTGATATCTGAAAAAATATAAATCAGAAATAGGAATGGAAATTCCAAATATAGACTTGCCTCAATGTTTTTCCATTTACTGTAGTCCACCATGATTACTGGTTGTAAAGCTCCAAAAAATATTTTTGTTCTGCTATTTCAATTGGAAAAAATATCAAAGTTGAATCAGAAGTATCCAGAAACTCAACATTTGACATCTGTCACTTTCATGGTCAATGTCTAAAATGTCAAATTCATGGAGCGGAAAAAAATTAGACTTGGTCTGTGTTACCAAACCGTCTTAAAAAAATTAAGTTACATATATATAATATATATGTATATTATATACATATTATGTATACTGGATGCGTATTATATTGTTCACTCTTCTTGTTTTCTCTTTTTGGTAAAAAGTACCGACAACCTTGGACTCAGGTACACCATATTAATAATAATCAATTATCTTGACATACGTTGATTTACACTTACGTAATTGGGTTCTTCAATTAGGTGACACCTCAGAGTAACAAAAGACAATAGAGAGACCTTTTATATCCTTACAAACTTTGCATAACTCTGTTTGTTAAGGGGAAGTAAGTTGGTCCATAAAACAGTGGCGGTTGGTTTAGTTGATAATCGGAGGGATATTATATATTCATAAAATAAATCATTTCAGGTGGAAATGTATTCTGTTCAAATAGTTCCTACAGGAAATCTGATTTATTATTAATAATTATGGAAATGGGGCCAGTTTTTCTACCACCTACTAGATTTTTTTTATGTATGGTTTTATAATAAAGCGCGTGGTTTACTGGGTTGAAATAAAATTATTTCAAATAAACTAATTCATAATAATGATAAATGTTAATTTCAAAAGTAAGGGATAAGTTTGATTTATAAAATCAGATGAAGAAATTTGTGATTTATTCTCAAATTTGATAAACAAGTTGTACGGTTTATGAGGTCCGAATAAAGAATTTTCTATTAGAAATCATGAACATTTATAATTACGATTGAGGTTTGATATTATTATGTGATTTCATTCAAAATTGGTATCTAGGGGTCTTTGTGGACCGACATTATGTTTTTTTTCAATAATTTATTCTTATAAATAAAGTTTTTGAAACTAAGTTTATATTATTTCATTATTTGACATATCTCAACCAAAAAAAGTTAAAAAAATGACAACCGTCATTTCTTATTGAATACCTTTTGTCTGTATGCAACTCGAGAGCCTCGTGCAAAGAAAGAGAAACCAGAACAGAAATCATATTCTTTGTGTGACGTAAGTTAGTTGTTGATTGAGCANCAACCAAATACTTAGTTCATTGAAAAGTACAAAAATAAGATAGATACAATACAACATAAAGTTAAGCAAGGTGAGTATTTTACCTCTTCCATTTCCAAATTAATACACCAAATGACTAAATAATTGGCAGTATCTTCACACACAAGATTGCTGTGGGATTTTAGGAAAGCTTTAGAGTCATCATACTTTCTCAGCATACCAAAATGCTTGAGATCTTTTTCATTTTCTTTGATGAAAATCTTCATTCTAGCCTCACGCTCTTCTTCAGTCAAATTCTCTTCTTTAGGACGAGCAGGTTTTTTATTGATGACAGTCTTTGCAAATCCTGGTTTGCTTATTGTATCAACATTCCAAGGGGTCATCTGAAAAAAGTTAAGTCAAAATACTGAAAATAAAAAGGTGCCGAGTTGAAATTTCACTGACTTAGAAAGATATTAATATTCAGTTGATTAGCGAGACGAATGACAATGTCTAAAAAATTGTAAATTAATATATTTTACAAATTATGGAATCTATTGACATATAAACAGAGTAGGCCATGGATTCATTACAGTTCAGTTCTGGCACCTCTTAGAAACCTATTTTACTAAGATGAAACACCTTTCAGAATTTTTAATAACTGATGGTACTTGAATCAACAATAACGCCTGTGTAAACNAACAGTGTATAAATAAATAAATAAATAAATTACTAAAAGCGACGAGGAGATGAACTGCTCGAGTTAACTTAAAACATATATTAAATTCAAGGAAAGGTTCTCCAGTTCTATACTATTGGTATTCGGAGTGGCTTCTTTTTTATTGTTTGAATCAAGTGACCTCTTGTTATGATAGCCAATTTTCATAGATGTTAATTCCCCCACTGTTTTTGTGTTTTTGAATTTCTATTGCTTCCCTATAGTCTTGGCAGTCTCTGAGATCTATCGAGCACTTGAGTCTCCTCGAATGCAGTAACGTGGATACCTTTCCGGACTGCAAGTTTCACTATTGCTGATTTGTTGGTATGCCCAAGGAGACAAAATCTCTTGTGTTTAGAGAGACCAGTAGGTTATTCTCTTCATGGCTCTAATGTAGTCACCTTCAAAGAATCCGGTATAAGATGGTCTGGGATCCTCAGCTGACTTCAGACTCTGTTTTTCATTGACTGGAATAACGAATTTCACATTGTGTTTCTCTAGACTTCTACAATACTGTCTGTAACATCAACAGCCTTATTTGGAGTTGCTTTGGAAATATCTTTTCTGTATTATATTGCCTCCTCAAATATTCGGTTTCGTTATACCCATTTTCTTTGGAGGAATTTTTAGATAACTGAGTTCCTCGTGAAGATTTTTGATTTCCCATATGCATCGGGCCCTCTAAACTCAAGTTTTGAATATACCTCTTTTTTATTTTGGTGGATCTGCAGACACGAGCAACAAACACTTATATATCTCCCCTTATGAAGAAACAATCTATGATTAACAGAAAACTCAATTGACGTATATCAATGATAAATGAGCCTAACGAAGGTGGTCAGTTGCAGAGTCAAGTTTGGACTTCGACCTCTGAATGAGATTCATCCCATCTTTCACAGCAGCTTTTACTGCAGAGCAGCTCGAAATCAGAAACCAAAAACAAAGCTTTTATGACCCAACACTGATAAGCACTGTTTCTATCTTATGAATATCCAAATGTTTTGTCGAACATTTCTATTTCTTGTGGATTTCAAATTCCCATATAGGATAAAGAAAATAACTTTTGTCTACGTTATTTTTCTTATGATCGGTTTTGGTTTATAATACCATTCTCGAGTAAACCGAAGCATTTTGACAAACAAATCCTCAAATAAACAATGATACAGTCAATATACATATGAAAATTACCAAATCTTGATCCAAAAACACTACTCATGGATTACTCCAAATACCAATGGATTCTAAACTAGTTGTCAAAATTCTCTAATTCAAAATGGGAGAGCTGCATAGTTCCAGATGGTCATTGAGGGTTTTGAAATTGGGGTTTTCATATAATTTATTCGTTTCCAATGCTTTCAACATTCATCTCCCTTCTCTTATTGCATGTACGGAGAATTTTATGTTTTTTTTTTTAAATTTATTGTGTGGTTTGTTTTTTCTAGATGCTCATATATATCATCTTTCCCTCCAACCGATTTCCTGGAGTCTTTGAAGTCCACTAGATACTCGTTAGGACAACAAGAGGATTGTTCCGAATTTTTGGGGTCCTTGTTGAATACTCTTCGTGAGCAAAACAATAGCAAAATCAATACTCCTGACCGCTCTGAATTGAATGAGTCCGTACAGTCCATCTTGTCTTGTGTTTGTAAATCTTTTGCTGGAAAAATCCTCACTTGTTCACTTTGTAGTAAATGTTCAAGAGGTAGCGAAAACTTATGTGAATTTCTGGAACTTCATCTAGCTTTTCCTAATACGACTAATTACCAGTCCGTGCAAAGCTTATTGTTAAATCATCTGAAAATGGAATTTTTAACAGGTGATGATCGACTGTATTGTCAAACATGCGCCAAACTAACTGACTGTTATNTACTAAAAAAAATCTTTTTTTAAAAATTTTAATGATTTAACAAAAGTTCAGACTATAGCAATAGGGCGATAGTACTTCATTGGTGAGCTGTCATCTTTTTTAAATAAAGATGATATTTTTTTAAATTCAAAATAGGTTTGGAAAAATATGGGAGTAGAAAATGTCATTGATAAGTTTTGTAGGTAGTGAGATAATGTCAATTGTATCTTTTACGAGTCTGATTTCTCGATTTTATTAGATTAACCTTGAGTATTCAAATAGAACATCCGCTGTCTTTGGCTGAACCACGAATGCATTGTTGGACTCAACTATCAGCAAGGAAAAAGCCTGAGTAAGTAGACGTTATGACATCTCCCTTTATAAAGACGCCATCAATGGAAGCGACAGAAGACTCAGTCCACGAATATTAGAGATAAACGAGCTCACCAAGGCGGTCAGTTTTGACAACATCCAGATGAAATTCATCTTCTCTTCACAGAACCTTTTATTGCAAAGCAACTCGTTGAAACAAGCACTGTCTGGTGTTGCATACAAATAATTTGTTTTTGAGCTCTGGTTTTACCTAATTCAGATGTATGTTCATAATTGACTAGCGACTTGCTTTGGCACATATGCCAAATAATTTTTTTAAGGCAAAACACAAGCACCACAGGAAACTCCTTAAGGCACTCTTAGAGCGGTGCCTGTGTCATAAGTAAATTTTTGGTACCTTGGGTTACATTATTGTAATTTCATTTGGTTCTTTGATTTTTCTGAAAATACAATATATTATACAATGTACTGTAATTCATATAACTTGTTGCTAATAAAGCTTCCTGTAAGTTAGAGTCATTTTTGAGTTTATTTATTGAAGAAAAAAATAATTTTTGCTTCATAATATTAGTTTAGATACAGAAATTTCCGGTTTCATTATTGAATAAGTGAAGTATTAATTACTAGGGTAATCATTTTCATAAATCTTTCCTAGATAGTATTTTGTGATAATAATACGAAACTGGAAATAATATGCTTCTAGATAGCAAGTATTTCTGCCACCCATGGTATTTTTTCAAAGTTTTTCATTTTATAAGAACTAGCTTTTACCCGCGCTCGCATTTATGCTATTAAATAAGTGTCAATACAATAAAAATGATTCAATATGAGAACTATATTTTAATGTTTGGCTGGGNCAACCTTGGACTCAGGTACACCATATTAATAATAATCAATTATCTTGACATACGTTGATTTACACTTACGTAATTGGGTTCTTCAATTAGGTGACACCTCAGAGTAACAAAAGACAATAGAGAGACCTTTTATATCCTTACAAACTTTGCATAACTCTGTTTGTTAAGGGGAAGTAAGTTGGTCCATAAAACAGTGGCGGTTGGTTTAGTTGATAATCGGAGGGATAT